CCCCAACTGATCCACGTCGTTTTCAATAATATTTTCTCGATATATTGGGGTCATTATTCTAAGAAAAATCCTAAGGGGATTTGAGCTGATGGTACTTCCTTCGAAGGTTATGATCATTTTACTGATTTTCGATCTATGGTAAGATATTTACAAAAAAATCGAATAACGAAGTTTTGTCTATATGTAGGACTCACAGTCCTTAATATACGCTAAAAGTTTTAGCGAAAACAGATATTTGTTTCTCGAGATAATGGATTTGCCATAAATATCCGCACTTCGCAGAGATCTCAGAAAAAACGAGTTTTGTTGGATATTCATTATCTTAGGAATGGAACATCCATTTTCGCTGAAACTTTTAGTGCATACTAAGGACCATAAGTCCTACACATGGGCAAAATTTCATTATTCGATTTTTTTGGTAAACATCTTGCCATAGGTCGAAAAATAAGTAAAATGGCCACAACCTTCGAAGGAAGCACCATCAGCTCAAATCCTCTTAGGATTTTTCTTAGAATAATGACCCCTATATATCGAGAAAATATTATTGAAAACGGCATGGATCAGTTGGGAACCTTGCCTCGTAAGTGTATAGATGAATTTACATTCTGTAGTCGACTCAATGATTCACCAGACTGTGGGAATAGACTATATGGTGATAAAATTCTTTATCAATTTATCATAGAAACGTAATAATCAAGATGACAATTTAAAACTTAGACCAATAAAACATCAAAGCTCTATGCAATGACATATCCATCTCACCATAGTCGTGACAAAACTGGCGATTTACTCTTCGATCAACTGTGAGGTTAGTCTTTCTACTTAACTGTTTTTAATATCGGACTGCACGAATTTTTTTAAACTCTAAGAAAAATGTTAGATTTTAGTCGAAAACACGTTTCTAGAGTACCATGAGCGCGCTTAAGCCACCTTTACTAGCCACGTCAACTGTTTTCAATTAATTTTTGTGATTTGATTATTAATTAAAGAGGATGTCAGACAAATAGTCATTAGTTAGAAGGCTTAACCATTAACAAAAACGATACAAACCCACTCCACATCCACACTCCTTGATCAAATAAAAAAACAACAAAGTTAGAGTAGATTGTCATTGTTCCGTCATTTTTCAATTGATAAAAATTCTTTTACAAACATTATTTATTTTATGTAAGTTGAATAGATTTTTTTGATCATCAATATATTTGACATGGATCTAAATATTAATACCTTAATGTAAGAATATAACAAGTAATATACATAAGAAAAGTTTTTTGCTCAACTTTCTGTCATACCGGTATATAGAAAAATAAGTAAATGGTAGAATGAATTTTCTTTATTTAAAAATATTTATTTTATATTCAAAGTTTTTTTTGTAAGAGATTTAAGAAAAAGATAAGCAGAATGATTGAATAATATTTAGTTAATTTTTATTTTCTAGATTAATATTAAATAATGTTAAAGATAATTTATTTTCCATATTGTTCTAATGTTTCTTTAATTTTATCAAAACTTGGAATTTTTCCTGGATCATCAAGTATTTCAGCATATTTAATTTTACCTTGTTTATCAATAACAAAAGCACTTCGTTTTGTAACACCTTTAAGACCAAATAA